CATGACTCCATCTGAGTTCCTGTGTGCTATGAGAGTGCATGCTGGCACGCGTTCCCTCTGGAGGAGGAAGGGGGACACCCCTTCAAGTCAGGGAAAAGGTCCCATCTCAGACTCAGGTGAAGGTTTGTGGCAAGTGCCATTCTTGTGCCTCCTAGTTAACCCCATAGAACAATGCCTCAATCTTGAGGCATTGAGTGTTTTATAATGGAAGCCCACCTACACCTTGCTTTTTCTTTATTATCTTTGATCACAAGGAACTGCTCCACCTCTGTTGACAACTTTTCCTGCTCACTGATTAAAAGTGGCTAAATTTTATTCTTTACATTCCCCCAAAATTGGTTAAGGTCAATTTTCTGTCCTGTGACTGTCCTGTGACTACAGAGTTACTTCTATGCCCCTATGGCATCTATAAGTGTATGATGTCTTAATAAACTTTGTCTATACGTGCATGGTACGGTCCCTTTCTGCCTACTAGACACTGCATTCCTGGGTCTCACTGTGTGAACAGCAACATACCACAACTACCATTTACACTCTGGATGTAGCCAAAGGGCATACGGCAAATGAAGAAAACACTAAAACTTTGTAAGAACTTCTGAGTTTTTCATGAGATTTTTGGTTCTAAAGAACAAAAATTTAAAACAAAAAAGTACATCATTTCGGCCATGTACGTAAACCATTTATATCCTCCATCTCTAAGGGAAATTCCACCAAGCAGTGGGAGACAACCACAGAGGCTTCTCTTCCCCATGACTATAATTATAGGGATGTCTGTCTGCCAAGAGTGGGAACAGCTATCTCTCCTCTTCCTAGGCTCCCATTCTCCTCTTACAAGACAACAATCAGCTAGTATTAGTGGAATTTCTCAGTGTGGTGAGGGCAAATAAAAGCAGCAGCTTGCTAGGCAAACCCTGAAGAGCCTGTGTACATGCTCAGGTTTGACCCTTAGAACAGCTCTGTAGAAAAGCAGAATTTTCCACAATAGTCTTTTAGTAATCAGAGACATGTGTTGTCCACAATCACGTTAAATGTTCTAACTTTTTAAATAATATCAGATATGCAAAGAGACAGTAAGTGTGACAACCAGGGGAAAAGGTGGCTGTTGTGAGAGAAGCCAGATATCAGACTAAAGTTAAAAGTATGAAAAAAATTGTAATAATGACATACAGAACATATAGTCTCAGTTGGAAGATGAGCCCAGTGGCAGAGGTAGGGAAAATGGTAAAGGTGACTGAATGTAAAATGTACATATAAAAAGTGTAGACATAGCTGGGAAGGTAGCTCATTGGTACAGTACTTGCCTTGCAAGTATGAGGCCCTGGGTTCAATTCCTCAGCATCACAGAAGCAAAAAAAGCCGGAAGTGGCGCTGTGGCTCAAGTGGTAGAGTGCTAGCCTTGAGCTGAAGAGCTGAGAGACAGGGCCCAGGCCCAGTGTTCAGGCCCTACGACCAACAACAACAACAATAACAAAAGTTTAGACATACCCACATGTTTGTGATTGTAGCTCCTCAGGAAGCTGAGATCTGAGGATCAGGGATTATAGCCAGTCTAAACAGGAAAATCAATGGCACTGTAATCACCAATAACCTAATCAAAATGGAATCATTCCAGTGGCTGAGAGCAAGCCTTGAGGGGGAAAAAATCCTCAAGGACAGTTCCAAGACAAAAACAAAAGAAAATGTACACATTAGTTATATACTTAGGATTTCACTGTGACATTTTCATACATGTTTAAAATATATGTTATTCAGTATCACCCCTAAGTCTCCTTCCTTTCATCATGTTGTAAAATAGTTTTGACATGTTTCATTGTATTATTCTCATATATTCAAACAATGTTGATTATGTTTATTCTCTGTCAAAGAACTATACAAGCATTTATAAAAACAGAACAAGGGAATCTGTTAAAATTATTTTGGGGAGGAGAGGGATGAGGAACAATGATGTAGTGAGTTCAATGAAGTAAACTGTATTCTTGTATTACAATATCACCATGAAACTCTCCTATAGAACTAAAATACGTTAATAAAAATATCCTATTTGATAGTGAAACCACATGTACTGATATCCTAAAATCAGCAGCAAGATAAATATATCTACTCTCACCACTTCTAAGTTGCACTGTACTGGAGAATTGCTAGCAAGGTCAATTTGACAACAGAAACATAAGTATCGATGCATATAGGAAGGAGAGTAATTATCTTTATGTGCAGGTAACATTGTCTTTCTATTTCTGCCATCTTGGAGCTTGAACTCAGGGATTGTGTGCAGTCTCTGTGCTTTTCACTCACAGCTATCACTTGAGCTGCCACTCCATTTCTGGCTTTTTGATGGTTAATTGGAAACAAGACTGTCATATACTTCCATGCCCAGACTAGCTTCCTACTGCAAAGCTCACAAGTCAGACTGCTGAGTAGCTAGGATTGCAGGTAGCAGCCACTGGCTCCCAAAGCTGACATTATCTTTTATCTAGAAAATCACAAAGATACAATAAAAATTATTATAGGCAATAGTGGAGAACAACGAAGTAACAGGATGTAATATTTGCATAAAATAACTGAACTTATATATGTGAACAATGGTAATTTTTTTAAATGTAGTCAATGCTATTTACATTAGTATAAAAAATAAAACATTGAGAAATAAATTTATGGGTTGGGAATATGGCTTAGAGGTAGTGCTTGGATGGCATGCATGAAGCCCTGGGTTCAATTCCTCAGTACCACATCAACAGAAAAATCAGAAAGCAGTGCTATGACTCCAGTCGTAAGGTGCTAGTATTGAGCAAAAGAAGCTTGTGAACAGTGCCTAGGTCCTGAGTTTAAGCCCCAAGATAAGAAAGGAAGAAAGGAGGAAAAAAGGAAGAAAGGAAGGAAGGAAGGAAGGAAGGAAGGCAGGCAGGCAGGCAGGCAGGCAGGGAGGGAGGGAGGGAGGGAGGGAGGGAGGGAGAGAGGGAAAGAAAAGAAAGAAAAAATAAGAAATTTATCAAAAATATAACCTTGAACAATGACATCTACAATAACACTACACAGCTAGTCTTGGAAGCACTGCTGTTTTTACTTGATCCTTATCTCCTTGGCTCCAAAGGATGTACTTTTACACAATAAAATTGTTTTTTTTCCTTTATATTATTACAAGTGCTCTTAAGTTGAAGTCTGTACATCCATATATGCCCTATGATCTCCATTTTCATGAGGAATAACTCAAGTCCACAAAAGAGGCATGCAGAACCCACACACTGGAGGTCTGAATAACAGTCATGAAAGTTTTCTACCCAAACCTTCCCTGAACCAATGCAAAGTTTTAGCAAATATCACAGTAAATCTTTAAGAGAGATGAATATCATCTCAGATGAGGGAAGGAGACAATTTATTCCACAGTCTAATGGATAAGGTCTGGGAAGACAAGTCTGAGGTCCTTAGGTATATAGCCTAAAGTTGCTGGGAGGAACATTTAGGATCAGAGAAGGGATAAGAATTGAAACCAAAGTAGGGCATATGAAAAGGAAAGACAAAAACAGAATGCTTTGGGGCAAATAAGCTTCACATCAATATAGACCTACCCTAAACTTCACTCCTTTATACAAACCCACAATTCACCCTGATCCCTCCAAACCACTAAGAGCAATGGAGGTGATGATCCATGGTCTAAGATATCCCTGTGAGGGAACTTGTCATGAGCTAGCTGAAGAAATTATTTTAAAAAAAGCAAGTGGAGCACAGCAAAAACTCATAGATGGTGCCAAAGCTCTAAGTTAAAGCCAGAGGACCAACAACAAAAAGGAAAAAAAATCCCACAATGGAAAGACAAAATTCAGAAACAACCAAAACTTCCTTAAGATTTCATAGACGGAATATGGGAGTTCCTGGGAAATTGTTAAGATTTTGAGAAATCTAAATTGAAAGAAGGATTATGCTGCATATCTACCTAACAATTCTATTATTTTATTCCTATGTATACATTACAGCAGAGGAAAATGATTCAGAAATTGGCTTAGGGTCTGCGAATACCGTTTTAAGGTATTTTAATGTGTCATTCTTTTTTTTTTTTTTTTGGTTGATCGTGGGGCCTGAACTCTGGGACTGGCCGCTGTCCCTCAGCTCTTCTGCTCAAGGCTGGTGCTCTACCACTTGAGCCACAGCGCCACTTCCGGCTTTTTCTGCTTATGTGGCACTGAGGAATCGAACCTAGGGCCTCGTGCATGCAAGACAAGCACTCTACCACTGAGCCACCTTCCCAGCTAAGGTATTTTAATGTATAAGAGGGGAGATATTCAAAAACTTAGGACAAAAAAGAGATGTAATTTACATTCAGGAGAACGTAAGTGTAGAAAAAAAAATTTAACGCAGTCTACTAACCTCCATTACATTATTAGAACTGAGAATTAAAACGCCAATTTAATGCTTCCAATGCATGTCCATGTTCTGGTTGTTTCAGGAGGCAGACAGTGATTTTCAGGAAGAACTGTAACCTGGTACCCACCTTTGGTCCTCAGCTCCACCCAGACCTGAGCTCCTCCCACCCCGGGATTTCCTGCTCTTTAGCTGGCCACGCCCTCTCTCCGCCCAGACTCACCTAGCAGGCGTCTTAACTCACTTCTGCCCTCAAACCCAGACACTGATCCGCAACTTGGACGGAGGCCGACGCCCTGTGCTACCTCTCCCAGGGAGATATGGCCCCTTTAATAATGCCTACCTCCGCGTGGTCCTCTGGGAGGGTCCTGAAGAATCCTTTCAAACTCACGTTGGCTGCAGCAGCTGGGAGACACAGGCCCGCATCCATCCAGAAAGGCACTCCTGGGACCTCTGTCTAACCCCTGGCACAAGCCCACTTCCTCCAGTTGGCGCCGTGCATTGTGGGAATTGTAGTCCGCATTGGGGCAGAGAGCCTTTGAAAGAGCGAGTTTCTTGAGAGGGGACAGGGAAGTTCCTTCTGCGCATGCGTCTCCCCGCCCACTGTTAGTGTTTCCAGCTGTCAATTCCGGTTTCTTTCCCTTTGCCCTGCTGCTGGAAGTCCTCTGAAGTCCAGTTTTGCATTCTGGAGGCCGGAGCCCCGAGGCAGGCGCCCAGCCGCTCTTCAGGGGACCTTGGGAGCTGTAACTTGAAGGAATCTCAGGCTGCGGAACCGATGTCAGGTATGAAGGGCAAGCTGGGTGCAGGACCGGAGTCAGCCCCACGTGTGCCTCCTGTCTGGGCTTGATGATTTGTTTGGGGTTCGGGTGCTTGTGCTGCCATTGGCCCGCGAGCCTCCAGAAGCCGGACACTGGCTCCCGGAACCCCAAGAGCAAGCTGGGTGGCTCTCCAGACGAGGAGAGCCGGGAGCTGTGCGTGTGATCGCCACGACTGAGAGATGCTGCCGGCACCCACGCCACCTGATTCACTTTGCCCAGCTGTAAGCTGAGCACGGAAACGGTTGTCGTGAACTTGTGAAGTGTGTGCCAGGGTTGAGTCTCCTTCCATGGCAGTTGCCTTTTGGGCTTCTGTGTTGTTTCTGCTAGAGGTGTCTCTGCTCTGCCCCTGCTTGGCAGCCTTCTTAGCACTCTGGGCTGGAGTTCACTCGTGTTTGGACACCACCTTGTTTCTAGAGACAGTTCTACGTGGCATGTTAGAGTAGTGTGTGCCGGTGCTGTATATTTAGGAATGAAGCTAAGAAATGTGTGAAGGAAGGCACCCTATGAATAGGAATCCCCCTCCTCCAAGGACAGACCTTGTCAACTCTGACCAGCCCTAAAGAGCAGAGACAAGAAAGGGAAGATGTTTTAGCTTTCTTTGCTTTAAACAAAAATTTATTCTACTTCCCAGAGCACCAGATTCACGTGGTACTCTTTCCTCCAACACTGTTGGAAGGTTTAGACCCTCTTTCAGGAGGGGAGGGCATCGGGACTGAGGATTAAGCCGGAGCCTAGTGAACAGAAGGGGCAGACTGTTTAGTATGGGAACCCACAGACTTATTCCAGATGTCCCATCAAGGGATTTGCTGATGCTACTTCTAATATGTTGGGTTTTCCTGGCAGTTCAGGAAGTGTTAATGTAGAATCTTTGGCTTTCTATGAAAAAACATAGAAAAAACATGGAGGTAATGTGTATTGCTCAAGGATGTATGATGCATAGATGTAACATGTCCTGAACTTTTAGCTAGTGTTACCCGTTTCGTCACAATCTGCTCAAAGAAGTATTATTTTACATAGAAAATTCTTTTTGGCATTTGAACTCAGTGAATCATAAACAGTCCTTTATAATATATAGATACATATTGATCCTATTTTCATCCTCTTCAGTTCCTATGGCTTCTGCAACTTTAAAGTGTTAAGAACATGGATATTCTCCACTTTATTTGTCTGTTTCTGACAAATTGCAATTTCTCCCATATAATAATGAGCCTATACTACGTCACTTAAAATGAGAGACTGCCTAAACATGCATTCCCACACAACTGATAAAATATAATTTAAATACAATACGATGCCCTTTTTTCCTGTGCCAGTCCTGATTCTTGAGCTCTAGATCTAGTTACTAACCATGAGCTTCTTTTGCTTAAGGCTAATGTTCTACCACTTAAGCCATATCTCCACTTCCAGCTATTTTTGATAGTTTATGGGAGATCATAATCTCTCAGACTTTCCTGTCCCAGCTACCTGCAATCAGCGATCTTCAGGTCTCAGACTTCTAAGTAACTAGGAGTAGAGTCATGAGCTACCAGAGCCAATTACAATATCCTCTTTTAAATAAATATTATATTTCTAACAAAATAACCTGAAATAGAAAATTTTAACTTTTTAAGCAGGGATGTTCAGTCACTAATGTGTTTGAGGACAACCCAAATCCCAATATATATATCCCAACATGATTTTTCTAACACTCCTGGTCTCAAGCATTGTGAATATGGACACTTAGCCTCTAATAAAATCTTTTTAAGTTTTAAAGTAAGAAAACAAGGGCTGGGAATTACTTTAGTGATAAAGTGTTTGCCTAGGTTGTGTGAAGATCTGGGTTCACTTGCTCAGTACCACGTAAACAGAAAAAAATTACCTGGAAGTGGTGCTGTGGCTAAAGTGGTAAAGTATTAGCCTTCAGCAAACAAAGCTCAGGGAGAGTGCCTAGAAACTAACCACAAGCCCTATGACTGGCAAAAAGGGAGGTGGGGGGGGAGTAAGAAAACATTCTTGTGATGTGGATAAACCCCTTAGTAATGTGCAAACCTTGCATTTAAATGATAGATATTGTCTTTGCCAGCAAAAACATTCGCACTGAAGTCTATAGAGTAGGTTTTAACTTTTTATACATGTCACGGTAAAGTTGATGATATTTTATATTAAGAGGTTCCATTCTACATAATTGTGTTAAAAAAAAGAAAAAGAAAAGACCTGTGGATAATAGCATTTCCTGTGTAAGAAACCAACCAACAAGTACAAGCAAAAGCACATAGCTATTTGATTTATGTTTTATGGATCTACATTTTGGGGTGTCCTCAGTTTGGTATTTTGTATTAATATTGTTTACGTCATATATAAGACTTTAATCTTCTAGCCTGGCACCGGTGGCTCACGCCTGTAATCCTAGCTACTCAGGAGGCTGAGATCTGAGGATTGCAGTCCAAAGCCAGCCCAGGCAAGAAAGTCGGTGAGACTCTTACCTCCAGTAAACCACCAGAAAACTGGAAATGGTGCTGTAGCTCAAGTGGTAGAGCACTAGCCTTGAGCTGAAGAGCTGAGGGACAGTGCCCAGGCCCAGAGTTCAAGCCCCATGAAAGACTTTAATTTTCTAATTCCTTCCCTGAGCATGGTTGATTGGAATTGTGTCTCTCCTATGACCCAGTATTTTAGGTTCATCTTTATTAGGCCCTGTATCTCCAGCACTATGGCCAAGGTTCTTAATATGACTGTTTAGGAAAGTGAGCATTAGGGATGTAAGATCTTTAGTGATGACCCTTTGGACAAAGCCAGTTAAATAGCAAATTGCAAGTCCTTGCATAAGGGTGCTCTGAGAATTTGGATACAAGGAAATGTGCCATTTCACAACCATTACTGAAACATTATACCACTACAAATATGCATTGCATACGTGTTTCCTGTACAACTTTTGTGAAAACTGCTGAGCTATACTATACATGATTACCCTTGTGTTTAAATATGGAAATGAATGAGGTGGAGTACAAATGCTTAGTGGAGTGCTAGGATACCTTTGCAATAAAAGAAAAAATAGTTCATGCATCCCTAAGTGTACTTCAGTAAAAACTCGTTTTAATAAAATGTGGTAGCTTTTTATTTATTTCAATTATCCAATTAATTTTGTGGGATGTTAGTTTTCAGGAATACTGAATGTATATTAACCTAGAAATGAATTGCTTTTATACTATCTACCAATTAATCCACTATGGATTCATCTTTAGTGAAGTGTTTAATGCTCTACTTGAGACATAAAAGATTCTTGTTCTCCCATAAGAAGGCTTTATGCTTTTCCTGCCCATGAGTCATGTTATAAGCAGGAAAATCTGGGGCAAAATCACACAGGTTCTTTCCTGACTACCTCATTTGCCTTGTCTCCCAGCCATGCTTCCAGAATCTTCTGTCCATTGTCAACAGCAAGAAAGAATGAAAGGATCTCTGGTGAGTTGCTTTTGATTTCTCTGTTTTACATTCCATTTTATGAACCTACTAGTGCACAAGATTGAAAAACAGAAAAACAGATTCAACTTCAGGAAGATGCTCCTAAATCAGATAAAGATGGCTTGTAGGTTTTGCACATTATTAATCTGACATTCTGGCTAAAATGAGTAGATGACTTCAGTTTGTTTCTAGTTGTTCTGATGTTGGTAGAAGTAGTCAAACTTGTTAAGGGATTCACTGACACCGAGGAGGTGACTGCTCATGGAAGCAACTGGTCAGAGATCACATCCCCATGAATAACATTAAACTGTCCTAATGAAATTTTTCCTATAGTTTCTGAAAACTGTAGTCACATATACCTTCAACTATTGAAGAGTACTGAGTAAGATATGTGTACTTAAATTACTCTTCATACATACTTCTTGGACTGCTTGATAGGCTTTTTCTACTTGAAACTTAGGCTATATTTGATCATATAGTCTATGTCCTTTCTAGAAATCCCTCCATGTGTCTCAAAGATCTCCTGACTAGATTTTTTTTCTCTGTATTTTCTCTATTCATTCTCTGTTTCTTGCTCACTAGCTTTCTTTATTTCTCTTTCTCTCCCTTTTCATCTATTTTTCTGTGTCTTTTTCTCATTGTTTCTCTCAGACCCTCCTCCCTCTGTCTCTTGCTTTTTTCTTTTCTTAAGTGCTCTGTCTGGGAGTATTTCTTTTCTCTTTGTTTTTTGTTGGTTGTAGAGCTTGAACTCTAGGGCCTACATCCTGTCCCTCAGCTCTTCAGCTGAAGGCGAGCACTCTACCACTTGAGCCACAGTGCCATGCCCATTTTTCTGGTGATTTACTGGAGATAAGAGTCTCATGAACTTCCTTCCCAGGCTGGCTTTGAAGCATGATCCTCAGATCTCAGCCTTCTTAGTAGCTAGGATTCCAGACATGAGTCACCAGCTGGTTGGTAATCCTTCTTGAGTTTCCCAAGTTCAGGGAATATAGATATGTTCCATCCTGTGTGGCTATATTAACTATTTTTAAATCAGACTTCACCCTGCATAGTTGTGTGGCCATCTCTTCCATTCATGTACAGCATGTTTCATTTTCCATGTATGAAGCTGTATAATCATTAATAGGCAGCTCCTTTTCCTCTCTACCCCAGTCTCTGGAACCATCTTACTTTTTGGCTCTATGACTTTGTTGATCCTTGGAAGCTCAGTAAGGGAAATCATACCATGGCTGTGCTTTTGTGACTGCTGTATTTTATTTAGGTTGATGTATTCAAAGTTCATCCCTGATGTAAAATGTAGTAAACTTGTCTTCCTTTTCAATATCTTTTTTTTTCTTTTTTTTTTGGTCCGGTCATGGGGCCTGAACTCTGGGCTTGGGTGCTGTCCCTTAGCTCTTCAGCTCAAGGCTAGGGCTCTACCACTTGAGCCACAGCGCCACTTCCGGCTTTTTTTTTTCTTTTTGCTTATGTGATGCTGAGGAATCAAACCCAGGGCGTTATGCATGCAAGGCAAGCGCTCTACCACTGAGCCACCTTCCCAGCCCACCTTTTCAATATCTTTATCTATTGTTTTACCTGTGTCTGTCTTTTGGTTCTTGTCAGTACTTGCTGGGAAGTGATTCTCTAATACTACTTCTCGTCCCTGCTTTCTCTTCTGCTGGGTACAAATCTAGAAATAGAAGTGCTGGACCATATTCCTATGTAATTCTCTATTTAGTTCTTTTTAGCACTGTCCATACCATCTTTGATTGTTTTACATTCCTGCCAGACATGCACCAAGGTTCAAATTGAATTCACATCCTTCCCAGCCTTCGTTAGACTTTGGAAGGATTTTTGTTGTTTTTGTTTAAAACTCTGTCCATATTAACATGTATAAAGTAGTTATTTCCGTAAAATGTTGATTTGAATTTTTCTCATTACTATTGAAAATGAACTTTTTATATTTTAATCAATTATTTGTATGTATTTTTTTTAGAAAAGTGTCTTCAATCGTTTTTTGTCCATTTTAAAAAAAGATTTTGTGTGTGGTAGTTTCTTGTATAATTTTGCTTTATATTTTCAAATTTGTTCCAGTTGTTAGTCAATTCAGTGGTATTTGCAAATATTTTCACACATTCTACGGTTTTGCTTCTTTGTTGATCATGCCTTTTGAAGTACTTGTTTGGTTTTACAACAGGACTTTTGGCATCCTATCCAAGCAGTAACTGTCAAATCTAATGTCATGAAGCTTTCCTGCCCTCCACTCTTCTCCTCCTCCTTTCCCTTTTCCTCTTTTTCCCTCTACTCCCCTCCTCTCTTGTCCTTTCTTCTTCCTTCTTTTCCCTGCCCTTTCATTCCCCTTCTCTCAGCCCTCCACTCATTCTCTTTTCTCTTTATGTGTCAGATGAGGACTTGCTGTGTTGCCACAATTGGTGTCAATCTTAGAAACTCATATGCCACATCTACTTTAGCCTCCAACATGCCTTTGCTGTGTAGTGCTGGAGCTTGAACTCCAGGTCTGCTTCCTCATTCACTGTTGGCGCTGTCACTTGAGCCAGCTCCCACCTGTTGTCTAAATGCTTAATTAGAGTTGTCTATCCCGGCTGGCTTCCAGACCTCAGCATCCTTCACAGCTGGGGAAGGAGAACAGTCTTGTGCCTGAAGCCCTGGTTTGGTTTTATTTTTCTTTTTTTTGGGGGGGTCCGGTTGTGGGGCCTGAACTCTGGGCCTGGGCGCTGTCCCTCAGATCTTCAGCTCAAGGCTAGCACTCTACCACTTGAGCCACAGCACCACTTCCGGCTTTTATTCTTTTTGCTTATGTGATGCTGAGGAATCGAACCCAGGGCCTTAGGCATGCAAGGCAAGCACTCTACCACTGAGCCAACTTCCCAGCCCTGGTTTTATTTTTCTTGTCTGGAACTTTTAACATTAACAAGTAATTGGATACTACAATGAAACAAGATAATTATGTAGAACTCATGTTCAACTTAAACTCAGATACTTCAGTTTCAAATTAAGTGTTGCATTTTATTTCTAATAATTGTAAGTGTTCTTCTAACTATGGGAGATTTTGTTCACTCAGCAAATGGATTATGCTAGCACAACTCCACGTAGCAATAGTTTTCTAATTAATTTACTGTTTTTATAGAGGTGATGTACAGAGAGATTACAATTCCATGAGTCAGGTAATAAGTGCCTTTCTTCTCTTACAGAGTGTTCCATTCCCTCACTCTCACTCAATCACTCCCTTCCATCTCTACTCATGTGTTGTTCTATAGTTGACTTTCATCGGTTTCTCATAACCTCCACTGCTGCACTTTTTCACCATTTCCCTCCAATTCTCTGACTTTTGCCCAGTCTCTACAAGATGTACATGTGAATACAGCATACATAATTTAAAATATTTATTTTTATTTCAAAGGTTAAGTAAGAAACTGGTTCCCTTTAATATTCTATAAATTACAATGTTAATGCCAGGCACTGGTGCCTCACATTTGTAATCTTAGCAACTCAGGAGGCTGAGATCTAAAGATCGTGGTTCAAAGCCAGCCCAGGCAGAAAAGTCCATGAGAATCTAATCTCCAATAAACCACCCAAAAACTGGAAATTGTGCTGTGGCTCAAGTGGTAGAGCGCTGGCCTTGAGCTGAATAGCTCAGCCACAGTGCCCATGCCCAGAGTTCAAGCCCCATGACCGAAAAAAAGAAAAATCACAATAAATCGGGTCATTTCTTCCAAATCCATTCTAATTACCCTGTGTTATTTCACTTACAGATTACTAGAAATACACTATTTAACTTTATTTATAACATACAGCTTTATTTGTCATATTGATTTCTGAATAGTTTGTCTTGAGATTTTATTCTCAATGTCTCTGTCTTGGTAAATGTAATGACATGGTTTTATACACAGCATTTAGGTTAAGATAATGCTATTGATGTGTGTGTCCCAGCTAATTTTTGGTCTGGTTGTTCTATCAGTTAGTAAGAGGTGTATTACTTCTCCAGTGATAATGGTGGATTAAAAAATTAGAATTCTAGGCCTTTTTTCTGGGACAGTCCTGGGGCTAGAACTCAGGGCCTGTGCACTCTCCTTGAACTTCTGCTCAAGTCTAGCACTCCACCACTTGAGCCACAGATCCATTTCTACTTTTTCTGTTCACATGGCACTGAGGAATTGAACCGGTGCATAGCCAAGCACTCTTGAGTAAGCCACATTCCCAGCCCTAAATCTAGTACCCTGTTTTTTGGTACAATTAATTCTTTGAACTGAGGCCTTCCTATTTGCCTGGCAATTGCAATATTTATTGACGCATATAACTATTCCACATGCTTTTACTAAAGTGATGAGTTTATATATTGAATCTTCATGCATTGTGAATCATGAATATGGTGCTATAAGTTTCATTTCCACAAATCATTACAGAAAAATTACATAAAATATATGACCAATATATTCCTTTATACTTACCTACACATTTACCATTTTAATTTCTTTGTCCTATGAGTATATCTAGGTTGATACCTTTTGCTCTTCTTTTTTTTTTTTTTGGAGGAGGGGTCCAGTTGTGGGGCCTGAACTCTGGGCCTGGGCGCTGTCCCTCAGCTCTTCAGCTCAAGGCTAGTGCTCTACACCTTGAGCCACAGCGCCACTTCCAGCTTTTCTCTTTTTGCTTATGTGGTGCTGAGGAATCAAACCCAGGGCCACATGCATGCAAGGCACGCGCTCTACCACTGAGCCACCTTCCCAGCCCTTTTGCTTTTCTCTTGAAGCAGGATAATTTTTTAACTCTCTTAAAATGCAGATATACTGTTAATGAATTATCTTTCCCTGACAATATCTTCAATCTACATTTTTAGAAGAGTTCCTCTGCCCAGTGGATTGTGAACTGAATGTTATTTTCTTTCAATTCTTCACATATATATTTCCCTTTTGTGTTTTAGTCAGCATTCACCTCTGGTATTGCCAAGCATGGCTGGCTTGGCCATTCATCATTTGTAATAGGGTTCAGTGTGGGAGTCCAAAACCTCTCCATTTAGCCTCTGCACACAAATTAGCACTCTTATTTCCTTCCAACTTATAAATTTTTCTTCTGTAATTTTAGATCACATCCCTCTTCTAATTTTTCTCTGTCTTTCTTGTCGTGGTCCTATTTTTCTTTTTTTGTCATCTTGAATGTTCCTTAAGCCTCTATCCATCCTCCATCCTTCCATGAAAGCTTATTAAAATGAAAGTGTGGTCAAGGAACATTTTATTCCCCTCCCAGCTATATTCTGTATTGTAGAAGGTAGGCCAAGTTCACAAAACTTCCTTCTAGCAGTTCTTTTTCACATAGGAAAGAAATATCAGGGTATCTATGACCACACTTCAATATTTAGGACTTAAACAAACAATGGTCAACATAGGATATTTATATGTGGGAAGTAAATCAGATCTTATAAGGGCCAAATCCATCATTAATTATGTTCTTAAGTACTGCCATTAACATTCACGTGAACACTGTACTTTTCATGAATCTACTAATGTTCTGTATATTTCATGTGATGTCCTAAATGTGTTCTAATTGCTTATGACAGCATGTGTGTGTGTGTGTGTGTGTGTGTGTGTTGTGGGGCTTGAACTCGGGGATTTCAGTGAGGCAGAATATGAAAATACAGAAAAAAATTATTTCTGATCTTAGTAAACTTTACCAAAATGAGCTAAACACACTCTTTCAGACACCTACTGAGACTTTAATGTTGTCATGCCAGAACATTATCTCCTTAGAATTCCTATCTGTCTCAGTCGCTAGCAGCAGAAATTGTTCTCATGTATCAGGGAAACTTTGTACCAAGTTACTATGGTACCAAATATTTGTACTTTGATTTTCAATTCTCCTAGTGTACAGGTAACATAGCAAGCTCCAAACAGTTATGTAAGACAAAAGTATACATGTAGAAGACTGAAATTCCACATTTGGTGTTCTCATGACTCAGGGCTAAATACTTGATGGAAATGTGCTATTACAGAAGCTGGTGTCATTTGATGATGTGGCTGTGGACTTCAGCTGGGAGGAGTGGCAGGACCTGGATCTTGCTCAGAGGACCCTGCATAGAGATGTAATGCTGGAGACCTACAGCAACCTCTTGTCTGTAGGTGAGCAAAAGTTATTTTAACTTGCGAGATCAAGTGCGGATTCTTTTTAGTTGATACATAAATATTGATGTTATTCAGGCATAAGATTCCAGTCCATGGGAAGTATCATTTTTTTTCTTTTTTCTTTGTATTTTGGGGTGGGGGGGGTGGCGGCAGTTGATTGTGGGTCCTAGCACTGTCCCTCAGCAATTCAGCTGAGCACTCAACCCTTGAGCCACAGTGGCACTTCTGGCTTTTTCTGCTAATGTGGTGCTGAGGAATCAAACCCAGGGCCTCATGCATGTAATGCAAGCACTCTACCACAGAGCCATATTCCCAGCCACAGAAAGTATCATTTTGTTTTCTAAGGGAAACATCCACTTGATTATGAAACTCGAGACAATTTTATTCCCATTCTTCAAGAAGCCCAGTCAGCAGTAGGACCCAAGTTCTAAAGTATGTTCCACTAATAGAAGACTGTCTTCCTAAACTTGGGGTGTTTTTTGTAGGTGCAAATATAGTCTAGAATAGAATGTACATCACTATTTGCAGTATGATCTGAAAATCACTAGTTGAAAGTGGTTATTTTAATCAAACCTGACACTGGGTGCAGTGGCTAACACCTGTAATCCTAGCTGCTCTGGAGGCTGAAATGTGTAGATTTTGGTTTGAAGCCAGCAACTGCAGAAAAGTGACCATGAGGCTTTTATCTCCAGTTCCCCTCACAAACTGCAAATGTAGCTGGGACTGAAACTAGCAGAATGCTAGCCTTGAGCAAAAGAGCTGAGTTCAAGCCACACAATTGGCAAAATAAGTCCAAAGCTGGGGAATGTCAACCAGGTAGTGGGTAAGAAATGAGAAACAAGGTTTAGGAGCAACTTTGAACACGATGTCTAAGACCTTACAGTTATGATGACCCAGCCTACCAATAGTTCTTCTCTACTTCTTAATCACAGGGTACTGTGTTCCTAAACCTAAATTGATTGCCAAGCTGGAGCAAGGTGCAGAACCATGGAGAAGAGAAGCCTCAGACAAGAATCTCACAGGTGAGATAAAGCATCTTGCATGGTGGTGTTGTAGCCAGAGCCCACTTGGTAAGTTTAATGAGCTGTACTGAGCAATAATGTTCCTAGTTCCCTGAGTCATGTGTGGCAGAGAACTAGGTGATCCTTTATCTCAAGAACTTGTCAATCAAGAATTTACATGGAGACAAACTGATTTCAGTGTCCCAGTGAGCAATTCTTTCTCTTTGTAGAAATCATTCTTAAACAGAAGAAGGAAATGAGAAATGTAGAAAATGAGGTCTCATTTTCACTGAAACAAGGGCTATGCAGGTATGAGGAAATAAGGAGTATGCCAGGACTTCTATCCTGTGATGAGGAAAATTGCTTCTTGGTGATGGTGGAAGTGAGTGAGATTCAGAAGCAAAGCTTTTGGTTCACAGGGGATGACTACCTGGGTGGTGAGCTACAGTATCTTTGGTCTTGAATGGTTGTGAAGGAGCAGGAGTGTTAGAAAAGGAAATTTGATGAGAATTTGACTAAGATGGAGAGAAACAAATTTAAAAACTGCCACCAATCCCTAAAGTAATTCTTAGAAGTTAGAACTGAACAGATAGAGGTATAAATCCTTACTCTCAGGAACCTTCCATTCTTAGTGGAAAGGCAAACGGATGTATAAAACACCCGAATGGTCTCTAAATCTAGTCAGTATTTCTGTTCCTCACATAATGGTTGAGAGCAAACCAGAAAATATATAAAATACTTTCATAAATTAAAATAAAAATAACAGGTATTCCCTTATGACCAAACCCCAAGGGTAATAAAGGCAGATGTTAAGTACTCATCTTAAAACTAAGTGTGTAGTTGAATCATTTGAGTAATTCCCTGAGAAAAACACAAAAAGTCTGAAACAGAAAAATATTATTTACCATTGTAAAATGTCAGTACTACTTTGTTAATACATTACAGAGAAAAGCATATATTCTGCATCAAACAGTTCCTGCTTTGAAAGTTTAAAATCTTGTAACAGTTAAGGTGGGAGAAAATGTCTTTACTTTGACATTAAGGAATCTTGCGGTCTCATTTATGTTTTTATCTATCTTTCTATATCTCATTTTAGATGTCCAAGAAATGGAGTACAGGATTAAGACTTGTCAGGAGAGTCCCTATGAATATCTGTCTGAAGTAGCAGTCATGAATAGTAACACAGGAGAGGAAAAAGTAAGATTAATAACAACTTTTAATTTGAGATCAAAACCTAAGTCGGAGCTGATTAGAAATAATGGGAACTCCTTGGGGATGAGGACAAAGGAGTTTATGCGATGTCAGAACATGCTTCTCTATGGTGAACCTGATTTGATATGTGCTGCCTATACTCCTGGTGTGTCTCCTGTAGTTTTTGAATATAACCAATGTGGACAGCCTTTTACCCAGAAGGCACATCTTACTGTCCAACAGACAACACACACAGGAGAGAAACCTTATGAATGTAACCTGTGTGGAAAGTCTTTCACCCAGAAGGCACACCTTACTGTCCATCAGACAACACACACAGGAGAGAAACCTTATGAATGTAACGTATGTGGAAAGTCTTTCACCCAGAAGGCACACCTTACTGTCCATCTGACAACACACACAGGAGTGAAACCTTATGAATGTAAGGTGTGTGGAAAGTCTTTCACCCGGAAGGCACACCTCACTGTCCATCAGAGAATACACACAGGAGAGAAACCTTTTAAATGTAACGTGTGTGGAAAGTCTTTCGCCCAGACTGCACACCTTACTTTTCATCAGACAACACACACAGGAAAGAAACTGTATGGATGTAATATATGTGGAAAATCTTTTACCTGGAAGGCACACCTTACCATCCATCAGACAACCCACACAGGGCAGAAACCTTATGAATGTATGGAGTGTGGAAAGTCTTTCATCCGGAAAGCAAACCTTATTGTGCACCAGAGAACTCACACAGGAGAGAAACCTTTTGAATGTAACGTGTGTGGAAAGTGTTTCACCCAGAAGTCACAACTTACTGTCCATCAGGCAACACATACAGGAGAGAAACCTTATGAATGTAACGTGTGTAGAAAGTCTTTCACCCGGAAGGCACACCTTACTGTCCATCAGAGAACACACACAGGAGAGAAACCTTATGAATGTAAGGTGTGTGGAAAGTCTTTCATTCGGAAGGCAGAACTGAATGATCATCACAGAATCCACACAGGAGAGACACCTTATGAATGTAGCAGGTGTGGAAAGTCTTTCTCCCGGAAAATACACCTTACTGTCCATGAGAGAATACACACAGGAGACAAACCTTATGGATGTAGCTGGTGTGGAAAGTCTTTTATCCGGAAAGCAGACCTTAAAACACATCAGAGAAGACACACAGGAGAGAAACCTTATGAATGTATGGAGTGTGGAAAGTCTTTCATGTGGAAGGCAGGCCTTAACATCCATCAGAGAATGCACACAGGAGAGAAACCTTATGAATGTAGCAGGTGTGGAAAGTCTTTCACCCGGAAGGCAGACCTTAACACACATGAGAGAACACACACAGGAGAGAAACTTTATGAATGTAACCTGTGTGGAAAGTCTTTCACATGGAAGGCACGCCTTAATATCCATCAGAGAATGCACACAGGAGACAAACCTTATGAATGTAGCAAGTGTGGAAAATCTTTCATCCGGAAGACACACCTTAACATACATCAGAGAAAACACACAGGAGAGAAAACTTATGAATATATGAAGTGTGGAAAGTCTTTCACAAGGAAGGCAGTCCTTAATATCCATCAGAGAATGCATACAAGAGACAAACCTTATAAATGTATCACATGTGGAAAATCTTTCACCTGGAAGGCACACCTTGACATCCATCAGAGGACACACACAGGAGAGAAACCTTTTGAATGTAATTTGTGTGGAAAGTCGTTCGCCCAGAAGGGACAGCTTACTGTCCATCAGAGAACACACACAGGGGAGAAACCTTATGAATGTAACAGCTGTGGAAAGTCTTTCACCAGGAAGGAATACCTTACTGCCCACCAGAGAACACACACAGGAGAGAAACCTTTTGAATGTAACCTGTGTGGAAAGTCTTTCGCCCGGAAAACAAAACTTACTGATCATCACAGAATACACACAGGAGAGAAACCTTATGAATGTAACAAATGTGGAAAGTCTTTCACCTGGAAGGCACACCTTAATATCCATCAGAGAAGACACACAGGAGAGAAACATTTTGAAAGTAACCTGTGTGGAAAGTCATTTGTCCAAAAGGGAAAAGTTACTGTCCATCAGAGAACACACACTGGGCAGAAACCTTGTGAATGTAACAAATGTGGAAAATCTTGCATCAAGAAGGCACACCTTAGTGTCCACCAGATAACACACAGAGGAGAAAAACCTTAAAAATGTAACAGCTGTGGAAAAGTTCCACACAGAAGTAAACCCTCATTTTGCATCGGAGAGCACTCACAGGAGAGAAGCCTTTTGAATGCAACACATGTGCAGAGCTTCAAGTGGAAGTGACAGCTCAGCACACATGAGAAAATTCACCCACATGAGAAACCTCTGGAATGTAACAAATGGGGAAAGTCTTTCATCTGGTAGAAAAGGCAGTTTGCAGCAGAGAACCCACACAGGATAGATAGAAGCCCTTATTTAGTACCAGAAATAACACAAGACAGGTAAGTAACAATATGTAAAGCTAATGGGCTCAAATCGCTCATGTCTGCAATTCTGAAATCTGAAGACCAATCTTTGGAGCTTGCCTGGGTAAAATGAACATGAGACTTATCTCCAATTAGCCACCATAAAGGTCAAAAGTAGTAGATATGTGCCTCAAGCGATAGAGGACTAGCCTTCAGCAAAGAAGCTCAGGAACAGCACCTAGGCAGTGAGATCAAGTGCTAACGTTGGCATGTTTGACTGGTGTACAGAAATCAATACCAGTTGTAGTAATTGAACTTCATTTTGTAATAATGCACACTTTTAAGGAATCCTCTTAGAAACAGAAAAATGGGTTTCTATGTGAAGCTAGTTCATAATTTAGTAGTTGCTCTAAATATTATCCTTCCTTAATAATTAGGAATTCATTTGATTTGAGGACAGCAGTGTATTCATTTGAAATAAAGTTAGTAATCTAGGTGTGTTTTGGCAGGCTTATAATTCAAAAGGTAGGAAAGGAAGACAGGATTTTCATTAGTTTGAGAGCAACTCAAGCTATACAGTGATGTTCTGCCTCATTTGTATATATAAAATATGTCATATTATTAATATATACCATATATATGAGTGTGCAAGTGTGTATGTATATATATATGCATGTGTGTATGTATGTTTCTGTATATTCATATACAAACATACATGCATACATATAAACAAAATAGTTTTTTGTGAGGAATATTAATGGCCATGGTTTCTCTACTGATATCAAACCACAAACAGTGTGTAGGTTTCTCATATGTGTGTGATGTGTATATGTGCATGTCCCTAACTAAAACTGAATATATATTAAATGTATATATATATATATACTTCATTTATTATATAGTTAATATATAATTCATATATAAGTATGGTCCAAATAGAATTGGACATACTTTTACAACACTGAGCATTTGAAAATTCATCTTATTTTGTATGGCAATAGCCATAAAAGAAAAAAAAACATGTAAGCACTCATGGTTTGTGCCTGCAAGGTATTAATGGATTTTGCCTATAAGCCTAGATACTCATGAAGCCAAGATCTGAGGATCAAGGAATAGAGCAAGCACAGACTACAATACATTAGTTTCAATTAACCAGCAAAAAGCTGAGTGAGAGGCGTGGCTCATATCTCCTTCACCTATGAGAGAGAAAACCGAACAAGCACAAAACCTGAGTTCTAGGTCAGGTACTGGCAAAAACAAATAGGCATTAGATCCAATACAATATAAAAATCAGCTATCTGGAGAACACAGAATGTATAGGTCTTATTATCATAGAAATTCTCCAGCAGTTGTGGATTAAGGAACAGTGTATGACCTTAAGTTATTTGAATAATTTTATGACAGATTCTTTTTTTTTTTTTGCCAGTCCTGGGATTTGAACTCAGGGCTTCGGCACTGCCTGTGAACTTCTTTTGCTCAAGGCTAGCACTCTACCACTTGAGCCACAGTGCCATTTCTAGCTTTTACTGCTTATGTGGTACAGAGGAATCAAACCATGGTTTTCATGCATGCTTGGCAAGCACTCTACCACTGAGCCTCATTCTCAACATATCATAGATTTCGATAAATAGAGTTAAAACATGGCATAATAGACTGCAGCATGGGAAAACATATTTGCCTGCAATACATCTGAAAACAGACTAATGACCAAGATACAGAGAGAGCTCAAATATCTAAACTCCCAAAGAACCAATAATCCAATTAATAAATACATAAATGAACTGGCAGGACAAATGAGTGTACTTAACTCCCAAGATATACAACTGAGAACATCTGTAGATGAAGCAATGTTCAGCATCCTTGGCCAGAACGGAAATGCAAATTGAAATAACATATAAATTTCATTTCCATCAGAGTAGACATCAGCAAGTACACATAAAGGAGTAACTGCTGGTGAGGATGTTTGTGTGAGTTTAAATTAGTGTACCAACAAGGGAAAATGGTATAGATGTCTCTCAAAAAGCTAAAACTAGAAGTACCGTAGGATCCAGCAATACTACCCATGGGCATACATCTGAAAGAATTTGTGTCAGTAGAGAACAGGGCATACATCTGAAAGAATTTGTGTCAGTAGAGAACCTATCTTTATTGCACCTCTATTCCCAAGAGCCAAACTGGAAGCACTCTAGAAGCACTACAGTTAAAGAACAGACAAAGAAAATGTGACTTACACATGCCAAGATCTAGGCAGTGTCTATATGATATCTTTCCCTTCTGCTTACAATGCTATCCTGTCAGAACTATCAACCTCCAGATTACAGTGGCATGGACTTATTTCTGTCATTGTATAGAAGGGAAATGAAGGCCCAAAGGGTTTTTTCTATGCCTGAGCCTTAGTGTTAGTTACAAAAACAGTCATCTTGCCTCAGTAAGCTGTAATCTACACAGTCAGCTCATGATAGGGTAGTCTGTGAAGATGTTAAAGAATGTGGAAATTATTGAGAACTCTAGAACATTTCATGAAATCCCAAGCAATCAGTGGTGTGTTTGTTCCATGATTGAATGAGTGGGTTCTTATTTCTTGAATTCAGGAATATGTACCTGATCTCTGTCCCACAGTTTAAGGAGTTACACACTTATGGATTAGGGTATCTCAGCTTGCGTCAGTCAATTTAATGCAAAAAAAAAACACAATTCAACTTCCATCTTGGTATTAGGGCATTATGATACTTCTGGTAGTCAGAAGGACTAAATAACAAAAAATTAAGCATAAGGGGATCAACAGGTGGTTGAAAATTAGATTTGCAAAATTTTCACAGGGAAGTGGGTAATTGAAAGGGGTGAGGTGAGGTTATGGGGAAATTGGAAAACAATTGAAGAAGAGGAAAATGCAGTCAGGTATCAAATGTATATCTTACAAAATTAACAGAGAGAAAGGATGAGTGGAAATGTTGAACTGAGTAACATTGATCAAGAGACATTGTATTTATAATTGCTTGGATAAAGAAGTCCTTTGTATAACTCTGTAAGGCACTGATGTGTGTGACCCTATCTGAGGTCTTGAGTACCATGAGGATGCATATGTCCCCATGCATTCCCTCGGGCAGGGAAAAGGGGAATGCCCCTTCCAAGTCAGGGCGAAAGTCCCACGCCCAACTACAAGTCTCAGTGAAGGTTTTCAGGAAGTGCCATTCTTGCCTCTCCTATTCATCCCATAGAACAAGACCTCAGACTCCCTTTGTGTATCTAAGGAAGCTCACCTGTGCCTTTTCAGTAACCTTTGATCACTGGAGCTACCTCACATTTATTGTCAAGGATTATTCTTCCTGCTAACTGACTTAAAGTTAATTTTCATTGTCTGTATTCCCATAAAACTGTTTAAGATCAATTTTCTTCCCCCTTGCTGAAGATTTACTTTCCTGCCTTTATGCTGTATATAAGCATGTGATATTTCAATAAATTGTCTATGCCCACATGGTGTAGTCCACTTTCTGCCTACCAGATGTGTATTCCTAGGTCTTGCTGGGTGAACAGCAACATTAACTCCTTCAAGATAAATAAAAAGAAAATGTGGCATGCATAATCAAGGTACCATTATTCAGCTACAAACAAGATAATGCAGCATTCACTGGCAAAATGATGTAACTGAATAGCGACTTGTTATTTGAACTAAATTGGTTAATACAGGCAAATGTTACATTTTTTTTCTCTTACATAATGGAATGAAATGGAGTCCTAAAAGATATACCTGTGTGTGTATATGTGTCTAATCACATCCTTAAGCCCAAATTGTAATATATGGTCTACTTGGGGATTTGAAGGAGGAGCGGTTGAGGGAACAGGATGGACAGACACTGAATAATACTGATAAAGAAGATGTGAACTATGAGCACTGCACACAGGAACTGGCTGAAAGTAGGTGAATAATAGAAGTGGGGAAGTGGAGTGGACAAGTTAATAGAGGACCCTGGAATAAGTTCATCGGATTAAAGTAAACATGTATTCTGAAATCACTAGGTGGAACCAACTTGCACAACTAACATAAATAAAAAACAAATAATAGCACAGTTCGAAAAGAAATGTATTCAATGCGTGACTGTAGAACTATGACCCCTCTATACATCACCTTTATGGTAAAAATTAAAAAGAATAAACAAGTAACAGGAACATAAAACAGGTTCTGTTGAGGATATGAGTCCCAGTAGGATCAGGGAAGATAGGATAAGGAAGGCCATATGATGAAACAAACCTTGTATATGTTTGTGCAAATGTAACAATGGAATGTGTTGATACTGTTTTGAGGATGAGGAAGGGAATGTGATGACAATCCATCAAGGCACAGTTAAAGGTGACAAAAGAACGTTATTTACACTATTTACACCAGAAAGGGGGTTGCGACTACCTTGTGCTTGTCTGGCTACCCAGAACCAAGAGCAGCCTCAACCTCCAAGCCACCAATGGGCAGCCCCGACCTTTACTAGTTGGACTGCAAACCTCCTATTAGTCAGTCTACAAATCTTCAAAGCTCCAATGCTCCAAAGGGGAAGGCTTTTCCTTTTGCTTCCTCCTTCTCTGCAGGCCTCTCCACTCCACACAGGCCTCTTTGCTGGCCTCATGCCTTGCCACTGGCCTCTCCAGACACCTCCAGAGGCTCCAGGATTCTCAACAGGCCCTGCTCTGCAACAATAGGCTCCTCTCACTGTCTTTCTCTCCGCCATCTCAATCTCCACCCCTGCTCCTGGGAATATGTAGCCTATATATAGGCTGTGTTCCCTCCCCGCCTCCAACAGTTTCAACTGCCACTCACCCTCCCCCAAGCCACCCACTCACAACCACTCTTGACACCCTGGTCCTTCCAGCGGCCCAGACCCTGGGGGTGGGCTTTCCCACCCCACTGGTTATTGAAGGAAGAGAATGAGAGTGCATTCATATACATAATGGAAGTAGCACAATGAATCTCCTATGTTCAACTAATATACGCTAATTAAATGTAAGGGAAATCATAGTTTCCCTTATATGCAATAACTATGTCTAGGACAAGCAGAAGAGTTCAAAAGCTATGTACATATGACCATATAAGTTGATGCTAAGCAAAATGAACCCCAAGATAGGGACACGAGATTTTATTTTTCTTGCTGTTCTTTTTGATCTGCTTATAATGTACTATATGATATTTTTCTTTCTTTGTATGTTCTCCCATGGTATAACCCTTGTTGTCACTATATTTGATTCCAGTGTTTTGCATCTTGTATATATGTTTTTCTAATTAAAGAGGGGAAGGGAAATAACGAAATGCTGAAATAAGGAAACAGGATAACCCATTGTAACAATGAGGTGTAGAAGACACTCTGTTGAAAACGAACTTTACAACTTTGGGGTGGAGGAAGACTTGAGGTGGGGAGGAAAGGGATGGTAGGGGACAAACAAAGGAGGGGGAAACAAATGCTTGATAGGAAATAAATGGATTCATTACCTTGCTCCTGTAACTAATCCCTCTGGACAGTAACTTTGCTCTCTCTCTCTCTCTCTCTCTCTCTCTCTCTCTATATATATATATATATATATATATGTATTACATATATATATATACACACACACACATATATATACATATATATATATACAAAAATGTAAGGAAAATAACATATCAAAGGTTTTTATGAAAAT